ACCAACCAAAATAAGCCGGCCCCTGCTAAACCACCAGCTCTACAACAGCCTACACCAATACCACAACAACAACAACAGCAACACCAATCACAGTTAGTTGCAAAAAGACCAGCTACCACCCCCGCCCTAACTACCAATCATGCAATCACTACACAAAAACATACAAATCTTTCACAACAAGAACTTAATCAAACATATTGGGAAAGAGTAAATACAGTAAAGAAACATTTACCAGAAATAGAACTTTTAATTCCAAAAATTATAGAAAACTATTCACAACAACCAGGGAATAGCGTTACTTCAAAAATTGAAAGTTATAGAAAAAGATTTATGGATTTCGTTCAAATTGTAAAAGTAACACCCGAAACCGCAAAATCACCATTAAACCTGGATGAACTATTTGAAGCCGAAAAATACCTAATGAATATGTATTTAGTAAGTCATACACTTAAATATAACCGTTTTTTTTACCACCAATATACTAATCAACTTTAATATTTTAGACATCATTATCAGAAGAAGAACAATTTAAAAAAATAATAACAATCATTGATGAAAAACCAGTCGAGAGCCTAATGCTATTTGAAAAAGATTTATTAAACTCATTTGAAAGAACCAAAAGATATTTCTCTGAAGCATTCCTTACAAAAACTGGGGGTGTATCGTCAAAAGCCCCATCCACACTTTGGTTTAAAAACCCAGCATTAAACAATCCTTTCGCTGGAGCCACAACATGTCAATATAACCCAATAGTACCTAAAAAGAAACAATCGATAAAGATAGATTCTCCCACCCCAGAATATAAAAAAATTAAAAAAGGAAATTTTGAAATTTTCGAAAAAGAACAGTAAGTTTAATATCCCATTTTTCTTTTATCTATTTTTCGCATTACTAATTTTTTTTCTTAATTTTAGAAAAATATGTAATAATTTAAAAAATGATTTAATTGAATTTACCAAGCATGACAATACACTTTTACCAGCCAAATTTATTGATAATGATGTAAGAGACTACACAATATTTATTCTTTAAAAAAAAAAAGTAAAATTTATACTAATTTTTTTTTTCAGACAATATTAATTTCAGAAACCCTAATTAATGATAAAATTTTTGATAGTAGTAGTGGCAATAATAACAATTTATATATCCATTTCAATAAGTCCCAGTTTTCAAATAATTGGAAAGGATCAGACAATAATCCACCACTCTTTATTGTATCATCACCTTCTATACAAATTTCAAGCGATGGCGAATTATTTTCAATTCAACCATTATGCTCACTATATTGGGACAAAGCTGAAAATATAATCAAATCATTCAAACAATCCCTATTCCGTAGCGATAGAATTACTAACGAACTAAATCAAATTAAACAATTAAATAGATACCAAATAGAAAGTCATTTAGATATTATAAATGCCAAATTTTCAATTCAATTTTCAACCAAATCGATTATGCTATTAAACAGATCAAAACTAAATAATAACCAAAAACAACAACAAAATAATAATAAATTAAAAAGAATAGAAAACAACACTGATGAAGCTTCATTAACACTATGTAACAACTATGAATCATATTATAATTTATCAATAATTTTGGATATCCCAGACAACTACCCGTATAGTCCTGTTACATTTTCATTTCCTCCAGAGTATTCAATCTCATCCTTTTTAAAAGATATCGAAATTAAAATGAAAAAAGAGTTTGAAAATTTAAATGAACAACAAAAACAATCAAGCATTAATACCAATAATACCAATAATAACGAAAACACTTTACAAACAAATAGATCAATAATTGAAACTATTAAAATATTTGAAAATATAATAAATAAATTATAAATATTTATATTAAACAGTATTTATTATAGATATTTGATTAAAAAAAAAAAAAAAATAAATAAAAAAAAAAAATAAAAGCGCACCTTGTGTGGTGTGTGTTTAATCAAATTATTATGTGTATCTTTTTTTTTATTTTTTTTTTTTTATAAAATTTTAATAAATCTTTAACTATAATTTAAATTAAAATAAATTTATAATTTCATAATGATGTAATTTTAAAATCATTATTAATCACCTTTTTAATAAAAAAAAAAAAATAATCTTTTTATTTTTTTATTTTTTTTTATTTTTTATTTTTTTTTGCCAAATTTTTTATAATTTTTTTTTTTAATTTTTTTTTTTTTGCTTTTTGATTTTTTCGAAAAAAAATTTTTTATTTTTTTTTTTATTATCGTTATATTAAACAAATAAATATAATAATAAACATATAAAAATGGCTGGTGACGCTCCAAATACTAACCCATTATCAATGAACCTCTTCCTTAAGTACGGTATGGCTGGTGCTTTAGGTTGTTCAATCACCCACAGTGCCGTCGTTCCATTAGATGTCGTCAAGACTCGTCTCCAAACCAACCCAGGTAAATATGGTGGTATGGTCAGTGGTTTCAAAACTATCATCAAAGAAGAAGGTGCTGGTATGTTATTACAAGGTTTAGGTCCAACTGCTGTTGGTTATGCTTTACAAGGTTTCTTCAAAGTAAGTAATATAAAATAATGAAGTTGATCAAAAAAAAAAAAATAAAAATAATAAAAAAATAATAAAAAAAAAAACAATTTAAATAAAATTAAATTAAATAAAAAATTTTAAACACATTATTAATTAATCAATTTTTTTTTTTTTAGTTCGGTTTCTATGAAGTCTTCAAGAAAACTTACGGTGACTTTGTTGGTGCTGAAAACGCCGCTACCTACCGTATGGGTATCTGGTTAGCTGCCTCAGCCACTGCTGAAGTAAGTATCAAATTTTTAATATCATCATGGTTGATTCGGGAATTAAAAAAAATATTAATATCATCACTTTTTTTATAAAATTTTTTAGACTATTGCTGATATTGCTTTATGTCCAAATGAAGCTTGCAGAATTCGTTTAGTTGCTGAACCAGCTTTCGCTAAATCACCAGTTGAAGCTTTCGGTAAAATCTTAAAACAAGAAGGTATCATGGGTTTATACAAAGGTTTACCACCAATTTTATTAAAACAAGTTCCATACACCATGGCTAAAGTAAATATTTTTATTTTAATGTTTTTAATTTTTCCTTATACTAAAAATTTTTTTATTTTTTTATTTATTTATTTTTCCCTATTAGTTTGCTGTCTACGAATTTACAGCTGAAAGTGTTTACAAACAATTAGAAAAATCAGGTTTATCAAAAGACAAGATGACTGATGGTCAAAAATTATCAGTTTCATTAGGTTCAGGTGTTGTTTCTGGTGTTGTTGCTGCTATTGTTTCACAACCAGCTGATACCATTTTATCAAAGATCAATCAAGAAAAAACTGACGGTGGTATTTCAAAAGCTATTGGTAACATCATTAGACGTTTAGGTTTCTCAGGTTTATTCTTAGGTGTTGGTACTCGTTGTTTCATGGTTGGTACCCTTACTGCTGGTAAGTTTCGACATAAATATAAAACTTGATTCTCATTTAATAATACAACAAAAACTAACATAATATCATTTTAATTACAAAACAGGTCAATTCTTCATCTATGATGGTATCAAACAAATGTTAGGTATCACTGCTGCCAAAAAATAAACTAAAACTATAAATTCAATACACTATAATCGCACTCAATGAATTTTCTACATAATAATTATAATAAAACTTTTTAAAAAAAAAAAAATTTAAAAAAAAAAAAAAAAGATATTTGTTTTTGTTTAATCACTGCTCATTAACACCCCCAAAAAATTCGTAAATTTTTTATTAGCCTGGTTGAAAATTCTCATGGCACAAAAAAACAAAAATATTTCCATTCATCCAAATTTTTATTTTTAATTTTTTAATTTTTTTTAATTTTTTTTATTTTATATTTTTATCTCTATTTTTGGGGAATTATATTTAATTCTCAAATATCAAATGTATTATTTTAAAAAGAATTTTTTAAAATGAAGATATAACCCAAATTTAAATTCGATTTTTTTTAAAATTTTTTTTTATATAATGGTTTTTTGGGATTAATTGAACCATTTCAAATAAAAATTTAAAAATATCTAAAAAAATTATATATACTTTTTTTTTTTTCATTTTTATATTTTTTTTTCATTACTATTACAATCAAATAAATTTAAAAAAAAATGAAAATTTTTTTATATTTGTTTTTAATTTATTATATTAAATTGTGGTGCTGTAAATTTTTTTACCACCAGGAACATTGCTTGAGGGAAGTTGGGATCAAGCAGTAAACTGGCAGGGCGGAGTGGTACCATCAACCAATGGAGATGCTATTATTGGGCTGAAAAATCAATCACTTTGTTATGCTTTTGCTTCAGATAGTTTAACCGAGATTATTGTAAATTCTCTTCAAGTGGGTATATTAGGCCAAAATGGTGGTTTAGATATAACAGGAACATTTTATTCAAATATCTCAAGTGTTCATATTAAAAATTTATTAATTAAATTTTCATCAGTTTTTTTTGATGGAAATATCAATGGATTACCAACAACAGTAAATACTTTACAAATTTCATTATCAAAGAATGCGTATTTGTTATCAAATCCAACTTATTTTTTTAACGATGAGATTACAAGTTCATTAAGCGATGCTACTTTCAGGGATTCATCAGTATCATTGAAATATATTTATTTATTCCAGTCTACTTTTTTTTTTAATAATACCAAATCAGTTTTAGAACAAAGCAATGTTTATTATACTTCTCAAGCAGGGTATTCTGTTCTATATTTTGAAAACTCTAACGCAATAATAAAAAGCGATTTTAGCTTCTTAGTAAGTATCCTTAGGAACCTATGCGTTTAACTATAAAATAATTAACTAAGAGTTAAATAGATGATATATATAACATCATTAATAATAACACTTAAAATTGTTTTATTATATATAGTTTTCATTTTTTATTTTGCAGTCATCAAACATCAGTATATATAGAAATAATAAATCAAATGAGGATCCATTAGCTAATATAGTTCAAATTTCATATTCAAACCCATCAGTTAGAATATATTATACCAATTTTTACATTGAGAAGTTTTTGTGGGCAAAGGTTTCAGAGTTTGACATTAAAGGGTCGAATTTAATTTTTAATAATACAATACTTTCCTTTGAAAATGTGTTGTATTTCCATTCAAGTTATATTGAATTTAACCAGCCTGCATTATTTTACAATACATCCAGAATTTTCGTAACCTATGGCTCAAGTGCACACTTTAACTCTCAATTGTTTTTAACTAGGAATTCATCTATTTCGATCCATTTTGCAGAGGCCACTATTAAAGCCCCAAACCATGTTTTTGAATTAACTGAAAACTCAGTTTTCTTGGTCCACGACAATTCAACATTATACCTTGAATCAAGCTCACACAACTACGATACTGCAAAATGGAGTATAAGTGATTCAACTATTTATATCAATGGTGATCTTCAAAATTTTAATATTAGCAATTTTGTAGCTGTACAATCTACAGTCAATATAGAAAAAGATTTTATTTTAAATGATTCATCATTAATGGGATCTTCAGGTTCAACCATAAAAATTTTGGGTTCGTTAATAGTAAATGAAAGAACTACAATTGCCTTTGAAAATTCTAATGTTTTAATCAATGGTTTGTTTTTGGATAACAGTTATGGAGATTCAATTACAGGTGAAAATATAACAGGTGGTTTTATTAATTCCAGTGTAGAAATAAACGGTTCTTTTAAAACAGTAAGTGGTCATGTTTTTTTTTTAATTTAAATTTATTACGAATTCTAATGCAATATAATTTTAATTTTAGTATGGGGTATTAGGTTTTATGCAATCTAGTATTATTTTAAATAGCGAGTTTACAATTTATGGTACTATAATGTTCCAGCATTCAAAGTTCATAATTAGAAATGGTAATTTTAATAACTATGGCAAGTTTTATTCAGATGAATCAGACTTTATATTAGAAGATGGGTATATATACTTATTCCCAGGATCCACATTTGTATCATTTAATTCAAGTTTTACATTGCTAAAGGGTCAACTAATGGTCAGTGAAAATGTAGTATTCAAGTTTAAAAACTCAACACTAAATAACATAAGTAATGGTACAGTTGTTGCAGAAGGAGATATTATGTTAGAAAATGATGGATTTATCAATAATAATGCCTCAATGTACTTGTATTCGAATATCATACCAAATAATACCAATGGTTATGAAAGTTTTTCCAACCAAGGACATTTATCCATTTTAAAAACAAATGAAAAAACCGGTAAAACAAACATTATGGTTCCGCTATACAATAATGGTTCAGTCCTTATAGATGATAAGCAACTCGATGTCTTGGAGTTTAAACAATCATTAGGTGGTAGCTTAAGTTTTAGAAATAAATCAGTAATAGCATCAAATAATACAATCATTATTGAAAACAGTTTTGTCAATGGCCATGGTATAGTTAATTCCACAATGGAGTCAACAAATGCATATATCGGTAACAACAAAGATAACGAAAAAATTGTCACAATTTTAAATATTACCGGGGAATTTAAATCAAAAGAGGACCAGTTTGATTTTGTTATACAATCAGAAACAAATACAAGTTTAATTTCAATCGACAACAATGCATTCGTCATCAATTCGAGTATAGTTATTAAAGTCAACAATGAATTAAAGCAATCAATGAAAAATAAAAATATTACATTAATGAACTATAATAGTTTAAATGGTGATGGGTTCAAAGGTATTAAATTTAAAACATATGACCCAATTACTGGTAAAGAGGAAGATGCAGATGAATGTTTAAAGTACAGTACAGAAATTACCTCAAGGTCATTGAAACTATTAATAGGGGATGGCAAATGTTCAAAAAAATCTTTATCTACAGGTGCAATTATTGGAATAGTAGTTGGTGTTGCTGCTTTTGTAGTTATAGTTGGTGTGGTAGTTAAATTAAAATCAAATTGGTTCTATGTTCGATATTACAAGGCAAAACAGGTATCAATCAATTTGAAAATGAATTTTTTATCTAAAAAATAATAAAAAAATATTAAATCTATGAAAAAATTTAAGTTAATTTTTTTTTTTTTTTTTTTTTTAAAGTATGTGTGAGGTTTTGTATTGTTATAGGTAGGTGATTGGGAAATTGATCAAGTGGTTTCTGGTAATTTGTAAAGGGTTGATATTTTAGATTTAATGGTTTGGATATGGTTTGAATTTATTTGTTTATCTACTTTTAAGAAGTTGTTGTAGTTTGATTGGATCGTTCTGCATATTCTTTTTTTTTTTTTTTAAAAAAAGTGAAGATAATTAAAATTTTTTTTTTTTTTTTTTTTTTTTTTTTTTTTTTTTTAAAAGTGAAGATAATTAAAAGCAAATGCTTTAAATTAATCAGTAAAATTTTATTTAATGTTTTTTTATAAAGTTTTTAAAGAAAATATTCTAAACTGTTGATATTTGGTAAAGATTTGATGCTGATGAAGTATGCTTTAAATTAATCAGGTGTTGGATGTCATGTATATTTTTAAACCATTTCTCCCTTTATAATCATCTGGAAGATTTTTGAACAAAAAAGATATTGCAAGAGGCGAGATTCGAACTCGCGAACCGACAGGATGAGATCTTAAGTCACACGGATTTAACCAGGCTTTCCTACCCTTGCTTTATATAATATTTTAGTTTAGTGACCTCCATAAGGTTTGAGCAAATAAAATAGGAGTTCAAATTAAGCATCAACACAAGTGAAAAATAGCACCAAAATATTTGATTTATCAATATGGTTTTGTGAAGGTTTTTGAAAAGGAAAATAAAAATATTATAATTAATAAAATTCAAAATTTAAAAAAAAAAATTTTTTAAAAAAAGCGCTCATTGCAATGATAATTAAAAAAAAAATAAAAAAAAGTTAAAAATTTTAAAAAAATTTAAAAAAAAATTAAATTTATATAAAATTAAATAAATTTTTTTTTTTTTTTTTTTTTTTTTTTTCATTCAGCTATCATACCAATTTGATTATCATATAATGAACTACCAAATTCTTACTTTATTCCTTTTCTACAAAACATTATAAAATTAATTATAATAAAATAATATAAATGGAAAATGATTTCTTTAAAAGGAAGATGTGTTTATTTTATTTGAAAAATAAAAAATTTTGAAAAAAAAAAACCTCCCCTGTTTCAAATTATTACCAATTTTGATTGTAGCAGATCTACATTTTTTTTTTGCAATATAAATTTTACTTATTTTGGAATTGATGTTTAAATAAATTAGGAAATAGTTATAGATTAATTAATTAATTAATTTTAAATTAAATTTTTTTTTTTTTTTTATTTTTATTAAAAAAAACTCAAAAGTATTTAAAGAAAATAATTTCATAAAATTTATTTTTTCATTATACACATTCAGGTAAATTCAAATTAAAAAAAAAAAAAAAAAAAAAAAAAAAAAAAATTTAAATTTTATTTAATATATAAAAATTTTAATATATAAAAAAAAAAAAAATTTCAAAAAAAAACACACATTACACTTCACTTCACACTATTATCAATATGGTGGTTAGTTATGTATTCTGCGTGGTGGGATACATAATTAACCACAAAAAAAAAAAACCCACTACGCTTCACTTCACTATTATCAATATGGTGGTTAATTATGTATTCTGCGTGGTGGGATACATAATTAACCATTCGGCTCTAATATACTAACCTCCCCGTGGTGGAGCTGGAAACACTCTTTACAAAAAATAATTAAAAATATTATCAAAAAATATCGAGGATTTTTAGCATTAAAACTATCGAGGATTTATAGCATTAAAGCTATCGAGGATTTTTTAGCATAAAGACATGAGGCGAGTTTGGTCCATTTGTGTTGGGTGTCATTATAGTTTAATGATTTAGCAATTGCATTTGGGTTAATCCTTTGTTAAATAGTTTGGTGCATACCCAAATCCAGACTTGGTGGAAGATAATTGAAATCATGTTTCTGTAGGTCGGTGTTCTATCAAGATCATTGCTCCCCCATTTGTATAAGGGAAGCATCTATTGATTTATAGCTCCTTTACTTTACAACAAATGTAATGTAGATGGAGCTACTTTAGTTATAGATAAATAATAAATTTAAATAATTCTAATAATCAAATAAATATACAATTCTTTGTTTGTGAAAACTAAAACCGAAAACTGAAAACTAAAAAATAAAATTTTTTTATTTTTATTTTATTTTTAATTTTTAATTTTAAATAATAAATTATTTAAAATAAAGGAAAATATAAATATATTATTTAGTTGAGATATAATTATAACTGTAATATTCATTTAATTCTAAAATGCACATGAATACATTACACAAAAATCACTTGGAAGAAATTTTACTAAAAAAATTATAGTGGGGAAATCCGAGAATCGAACTCAGGACGCTACCACCCAAAGGTAGCATTATACCACTTAACTAATTTCCCATATTTTGTAATCAATCATCCCATACATCTTTACACATCTACCCCATAAAATTAAAAATTAAAATATATTGTTAATTACACTGTAGGTCGTTTAATTATTATTTAAATATGTAAGTAATAAGATTAAAGATTAAATAAGGTACTTTTATTTTGATATCTTAATTCAAGTGCAGGATTTCTCAAAAGTTTTGACCCCTTTTTAAAAATATATGAAAAAAATTTTAATATCTTTATTTTTTTACTATAAATTCATTTTAATTACTATTATAAATAAACATTTAAGAAAATAAAAAATGTAATTTTTTTCTTTTTTACTTTTTTTTAGTTTTTTAGTTTATAGTTTTGATATGAGGAATAGTATGTATAGGTTTTTGTGGGACGAGCTTTAGTATTGCTATTAAATTCTTTATTTCATAAGGTTTTTAAATATACAGTTTTACCAACTTCTTTTCTTCCAAAACACATACATTATGTATATCAAAAAATGCAAACCAATTTAATTAATATATCATAAAGTATTAAAAATAAGGTTATAGGTTATTTTTATTTCATTCGATGATACCATAGTTGCTTGGTCAGAACAAAGTCTGATATTCATCAAAGTTGGCTAGAATGAAAAAATTCATTGATGTTGATTTAGTTCAGAGGTCCTTTACTTTGATTGGATCTTTACCTCCGTGGATTTTGAACAGATAAATTCTTTTAAGTCTATTTCTTATCTATTATTATATATACTAATACTATTGATATCTACAATTAAAAGAATTATAAATATAATTTTTATTTATTATAATTATAATTTCTATCTAAATTATTATTTTTTTATTTTTTTATTTTTTTTTTATTTTTTTTTTTATTTTTTCTGCCAGTGTCGTTTGGATAATTTATAAATCCGAATATAATACAACGGAATTCTATTAAAAAAATATTAGTATGAGTTATAAAGCAAAATTTTAAAGAAAATAAAACTTACTGATTGGGGGAATTCACTTGGCAATTTTCCAATACAATTTCCACAATTTTCAAAATATTGTAATCTTGTGTCGGAAAATAAAATATAATAAATTTTTTTAAACCACCATTTTAAGATAATAAATAAAATGAATGGTTTTTGTTGTTGCTGTTGTTTTATCTTAATTTTTATTTGATTATTTATTTATTTATATATTTATTTTATTTAAATAACTTTAAAGTCATATTGAGAAATTTCTTTTTATTTTTTTTTATAATTTAATTTTTATTTATTTTAATTTTAATTTTTATTTTTATTTGAATAAATAAAATTGTATATTTATTTTAATTATGATCAGTATTATAATTTATCCACAAATGAATCTAATTTTGGGATTGTAAGTGGCATTCCTTTGGATTCTCTTATCTCCTTGACTTTTTGTGTTGCAACTGAATTTTCATCGTATCCAACTGCACCCATAGAAGAATAATGAGCAAAAATACAAGATTCCAAATAGGCAGAACCTCCTGTTCCATTATATATATACTCTTTTAATCCAAATGATTCTGATACTGGGATGTGTGCTTTGATGGTGTATGAGATAAACGCGCTAAAAGTACATGATAATAACATTCTTTTATCTTGATTGATAACCATTGCCCTTCTGTTGTTGAGTAGATCTATAACATCTCTAACCACTAGCTCTTCCATTGTATTAATTTCAACTAAATACCAAGGCTCCATTAAAATGGGAGAAGCTGTTAACATTGATGCATATATTACTCTTCTTGTGGTTGGTATAATTTGACCTCCTCCTCTGTGGATTGCATCTGCAAAAAATGAAACATCAACTAAGTTGAATCTAACACCATTAACAGGTTCCTCACACAACGCACCTTCTCCAACGGCCCACTGGAATGCACTTTTCATGCTGTCTTTATATTCTGAAACATATTGTACACCTTTTGTTTGGTCTACAAAACAATTTGAGTTTTCACCAAAACCAAAAGGAAGCGAGGTTGGACCAAAAAACCAAATTTTCTTTGAATCTATAATATCCCAATTATGGTTTTCTACCAAATATTTTGAGTTTGACCTCAACTCCTCTACTGATGTACCATTTGACATATACCCATTTTGAATTGCATTTTCCAAATCGAATGAAAGTGGTTCACATTTCATATAAATTCGATTATGTCTATTTGGGGATTTAGCCATGCAAACCATCGATGATTCTTCTGACACCGACTCTCTATATGATACCAATGGCTTTGATACTTTACAATGTACAATATTTTCAATGCCATGCAATGACGATTCTATTTGAGCTAGGGTTGAAGCAGTAAGCATATTTTCACCTGTATTTTGTGTAAAAAATTGGAGCCCTTCATTTGATTTTGATATTTTCTTTAATGTTTCAATTAAAACTGGTAAGTCACCCGGGTTTTGAGGTTGTACTGGAACTTTAACAATTCCTGGACTTGATAGCTTGATATCTCTAATAGAATTTGCAATATCTGAGGATGAAATAGTGCCTGATTTATAAAGAAACCCATCAAAACCTATTAATCCGACAATATTACCACATGGTACATCATCGATTAGTTCCAATTCATTTCCTTTGTTGAAATTATTTATAAAAACAATATCTGAAACGGGTTTTTTTAAAGATTGGGTTGGAGATTTCCTATCTGATGTCATTATATTTACTTTTTTGTTTGTAGAAAGAACCCCTGAAAATATACGGCCAATAGCATAAAAACGATTTTGGTTATTCGGAATTGGTACCATTTTTGAAATATACATCATCAATGGGCCATTTGAATCGCAGTTTCTTATAGCATTTGCACATTCATCATCAAGCGGACCTTCATAAAGATAAGCGACTCTATATCTCTGTGCCTCTACTGGTGATGGCAGTTTAGAAACACACATTGACAACACATTATCGGCCAGAGGAAACCACTTTGCCATTACAGTATTAAACAGTCGTACTCCTTTAAGCTTCTGCTCCTCTTCTTTTAACACAACCTTGATTGAACTAAGCATTTCCTTTAAACTCTGTTCATTATCGGCCATAACCATTTCCAACAATGTATAAATTGGATCCATTACATATTTACAAAATCCTCTTCTTAATTTTTCTATCTTTGAATTACCATTTTCATCCTTTATTTCCACAAAATTTAAATTACCCCACACCTTGTTTATTGGATCATAGTAGTTTTCACCCCAAAACTTTTCCACCAATTTCTCTTGAGGAATACCAAACTTTACTGAATAAAACCTTGCTATATTATCAATATTGAAACCCCAACCATGTAAACCTGAACCAAAAGCAACATTATTTTTATTTGGTGAAAGTATAAAATCTTTGTTGTTTTGTTGAACGATCGATACTGATAACAATTTTCTATTTAAAAGTTCAAACTTTCTTTGAAATGACTGATATATTTCTTCGCTATCTAATTTTAGTTCTAATATACAACGATCTAGTTTATTTAAAAACAATACTGGTCTTAACACTTCACTATAGAAACCCCTATATAAAATAGCTTGAATAGATTCCAATCCATTATAATTATATTCCACTGAATCAATAACAATAAGTAAACCATCGGTGATTCTAAATGCTGGTAAAGCTTCGATTTGAAAATCATAATGTGACGGTGTATCAATTAAATTTATTAAATATGAATTATTATTATTATTATTATTACTATTATTACTATTACTATTATTGTCTATATTGTATAATAATGGTAAGAGTTTGGATTTTTTTATTTCAATTGGCTTTTTTGTCTCTTCTGATTCTGGTGTATTGATACTGTAGCATTTTTTTAAATTTTGTATAAATGTTGATTTGCCACTATCTCCACTATGATATTTAATATTAGAATTTACAAAAAAATAGCCATATGACGATATAAATAAAATAATAACCGTGCTTACTAAGAAATGACTGAAATATTTCTTATATTTTCTTTATTGTTCATAAGAGACCTAACTCGCTCCATTTCTAAATATTCGTTTTGTTTTTGTTATTGCTATTGTTATTGTTTTATGAAAATAAGGGAAAAAATAAATAAAAAGGAATATGAAAATAAAAAAAAAAAAAATTAAAAAAAATTAAAAAAATAAAATTAAAAATAAATAAAAAAAATGGAGAAATTTCTGTTAATATAAAACAAATTGAAATCCTAAATTAAATCTTTATTATTATTATAACTTTTACCAATTTCAAAAGTAATGGTTGAAACTGGTATAAAAGAAGATCTTAATTGTTGTTGCTGGTTGATTAACTCTGGAGTTGAAGAGGATTGTTTAATATATTTCTTATAAATTTCTTCAAAACGTTTATAATAAATTAAATATTGAGATATAATTTGTTTTGTAATGGTTGAACCTAAATTGAAATTTGAAAAATTTAACATTATTTCAGTTTGAATCTTTTGTAAAATTTCTTTCCACTTTTGGGAGAATTCATTGATTAATGCCAATAGTTGATTTCTGTCAATTTGATAATTTGCTGTATTTGAAATGCTAAACTCTGTATCTTTGATAAACAATATTAAATTTTTATAGTAGCTATAAAGCAACAATTCAACGAAAATATTAATTTGTTCTTGTAATAATGTTGAAAACTTTAAAAACCCTTCTTCATTTTGGCTGATATTATTTTCCTAATTATAGGGTTATAAAAAATATATTAATATTGGACATTATGATTTATTGGCTTTTGAAGAAAACAATATAAAGTATACATACACTAAATACGGTTATAATAATATCGTAATTATTAATTAAAAATATTGACTTTAATTTCGTATCATTATTGAAGCAATTATTTGAATAGTGTGTAAGTAATCTCTCCATGGATGATCGTAATACTGCCATCCAAGCAGTAACTCTTGGCTCATCAAAGGTTGATAAAATTATGCATAAACTTGAATAAAATTCTGAAAATCTTCTGGTATACTAATGATATCATTAAAAAAGATTATTAGTGACATATTAATAAAAACTAAATATTTTTAATATAATTTATACGTTACAATGTGTGGTCTTAAATCGGTTGGATAATTCTCTTTTGAGTTTAAGGCATTTTTTAAAGAATCTATATTTCTTTTAAAAGCCTCGCTAAAACGGTCCCAGATTAAAACATCGATTTTTTGAAAATACAACCTTACACAAGAGATACGGTCCCATAGCTTTCTATCTTGTAATAATTGAATTAAAATTTTATTAATTTGCAAACATAATAAAAGAGCCAAGCAGTCAAAAGTAAAAGAGACGAATGAATTTAAATTATCTAAAAACAATTGGAATATTTTGTCAAAAATTGATGGAATTAAAGCATCCGGTGAGTTGGCCAACAAAGGTTTAGCGAACCATTGTCTATTAAATAAATATTCTGAGCAAATTGTATCCAATAATAAAATATTCATTGATCTATATATTTGTTCGAATGGATACTTTTTATTGTTTCTGATTGCTGCATGTGGTATAATTAATGGGGCATCTAAACATCTTTCCAAAATATCAATTCTGCTTAGTTTATCTGGTATTTGTGTTATAACCTCACTCTTTATACTTGTCCAAATATCGCTTGGTAACCCTGAAATATATAAATTAAATGCTGATGCTTTATTTAACTCTACTGATTTAGTTGATGCACCAAAATAACCCTTAACTTGTTCTAAATAACCAATAACATCACTTTTTAATGTAACTTGATGCTAAATTTTGAAACAATAAAATTAATTAGTAAATATTAAAAGAGCAAGCTATTATTATTTTCAAAAAAAAACATACAAATACTTTAGTTAAATTTGTTAAGTAATTTTTAAAGTAATTATGAAATGTTCTAGAAACGGTCTCAATGTATAGATTTTTAATTTCAACTGCAGATGATGGTGAATTGTGATATATGAATTGATTTAATGGTGAATATTTAAATAGCTTTGATTGTTGTAAAATTTGGATATTGGTTCTTGGTTTTCTTAATCCAATAATTAATTTTAATAGAAAATCCCTAACTGATCTACTTGCTTTCTTTTTTAATAAATCGATTTCATATGCAATATCTTCAATAAATTTAGCCTTGGTTTGCATCAATGAGTCTAAATTTTTTATTCTATCCTGTAACTCTTTAATATTTTTAATATATTCTTCATTAACATCCTCTGATACTAAATTGCTAAAAAGAATTGAAAAATAAATTATTATTATTATTAGTCTATAATCTATAATCTCGTTACTACAACTGAATTTTTAATTTTGATATACTTACTATATTAGATCTGGTGGTATTGTAACCCTTTCTACCAATTTAAAAATTTCTTCTCTGGTATCGATTCTATTTTCCAATGACTTTGAAATTTGAAGTGATGCAACATGATTATCTGGCATATCTTTAATCAAATCTGATAACTCTTCAATTGATGAATCAAATGATTCCCCAACTCTATTTAAAATATCTTTATTGGTTTTAATATACTGATGTAATTCGACTAAATTATTTGCCTGTTCATAATCTTTAAAACAAGTTAATATTGCGATATAAAGTGAATAAAAAATAGTTATAATAAATAAACCTACATGTATTTACAACAGCAGAAGGTAGAGATTTTAGTTCGTTTTCTAAATGTTCAGAAAATTCTGATTTATTTTTAATTGATTCATTTGATGGCTGAGATGATATTTCTAGTGCCTTTTTTTCATAAATTAAATAGTTTATTATTTCCTCGATTGAATTGTAATCTGTGCCATCTGGTTTCTTTATATGCGAGTAGTTTTTAAAATCTAAATTGTCTTCGATGATATAAGATGGCATTAATCCATCACGGTCGCGTCCTGTATCATTGTCTTCTCCATCACTACTGTCATCTAAATCTTCCGTCTTTTCATCAATCATATATCTATCTAAATCTTCAACCATTTTATCTAATAATTGTCGTTTATTGAGAATTGGATCTTCATCATTTCTAACATTTTCTTCAAATTCGTTATTATTATTATTATTATTATTATTATTATTATTATTATTATTATTATTATTATTACTATTATTATTATTATTATTATTATTATTATTATTATTATTATTACTATTATTATTATTATTATTATTATAATTGAAATTGGACATTTTAAAAGGAATGATTAATACAAAAAAAAAAAATAAAAATTTAAAAAATAAAAAAATAAAAATTAAATTAAAAAAAAATTAAAAAAAAAAAAAAAAAAAAAAAAGTAAATATTTAATTTTATTATAATCACATCAGAAACAAACTTTTATATACCAAATAAAACAGAATTGACAAATTTATTATTTATTTATTAGTAAGGCTATGTAATATTTTATAAAATATGTGGGTGGGTTAACATAAATTATTTAATATTTTTTATAAATTTTATTTTTTTTTATTTTTTTTTTTATTTTTTTTAAATTAAATTTTTAAAAATTTTATTAATTTTTTTCTTTTCTTTTTTAATTTTTTTATTTTTCCTTATTTTCATCAATCTTTTAAAATAAAGTAGAAACTATATATATATATATACACACAATACATTTATATTAATATCATTAATAAACTTTATAGAATATAACGAATAAATAGTTTTTATTTTTAAAAATTTAAAAAAAAATTTAAAAAAAAAACTTTCTCCTCCAGTTCAAAAAAAACTTTTTTTATAATTTTAAAAAAAAAAAAGAAAAAAAGAAAGAAAAAAGAATAATATATCTTTTCTCTTTACATAAATAATAATTTTTTTATATATACTCAATAACTGTATATATAATTAAACTATTATTTAAATATCATTTTTTTTTAAATAAACAAAATAACTGTAAAAATAAAACAACCACAACCCTCTTCATCCTCTTCTGAAGAAAAACAACCATTAAAAAAAAGAAAAACTTCAAATACTAGCAATACCACAAAAAAAGATATGACTGAAAGCCCAGGAGTATCTGAACAACAACAACAAAAACAACAATCGCCCTCAACTAGCTCATTTGAACCAATTTCAAATAACTCAAGCACTATTTCAAGTTTTTCTTCAGGTAATTATTGCACTTTTTATTATTATTTTTAAATGTTATAAACAAATAATTGAACAAATCAATAATCAAATTATTCAATAGAGAAATAATTATATACATATTTATTTATAGATATTCACAATATTATATTCCTAAAAAAATTTTATTATTTTTTTTAAAATATTTTTTAATTTTTTTTATTAATTTTTTGTTTTTTTTTTTAAAAATTTTTTTTTATTTTTTTTATTTTCTATATATTAAATTCACACAAAAATCTATTTTATTGTCAAAAAAAATTTATTATTTTTGTTATATATATTAATTAAATTTTTTTTATTTGTTTATATATATATTCATCAATATCTTTATTTTTTTGTTTTTTTTTTTTTTTTTTTTTTTTTTTATATTAATATATTAATTAATTTCATTTAAATTAGGTTCACCTAATTTTTCTGATGAAGGTATAATGGAGGATAAAAGCAGTATATCAACACCAACCATCGAACAAACATTTGAAGAAATCTCAACAAATAATGATAGTAATGTTACAAATACAACAAATGAAACAGCAAGTGATAATATAAACAATGAAGATCAACAACCAACCTCAACATCAGCCAATGAAGTATCAATGGAGGAACAATCATTACCAGAACTCAATAGATTAGATGTTTTAGAAATTTTAAGAGATATCAAACAAACTCCATTAACAGTTGGTGATTTATGGTCACTTGTAAATATGGAATGGTTTTCAAAATTCCAAGAGGCTATTTTTACACGTGAAGAGTTGGGTCAAATTGATAATAGTCCATTTTTAATCAGCAAAGACAATCCGGATCATCTTAAACCAGGTGTTTGTGAAAATAAAGATTTTGCTACTGTTCCTGAAAAAGTTTGGAATAAACTTCAAAAAATTTATGGCGGTGGTCCAACTGTTACCAGAAAAGTATCAAAGAGTCTCATTGGTAATTTAATAATTGACTTAAAAATACCCTTCCCATTAAAAGTTATGAAATCATCTGCAACTTCCGAAGTTTTTGATTGTTATGCCTTTAAATCTGAAACCATTAAAGTCTTCAAAGAGGTAAATACTTTAAATTTAAAAACAACTATATTTATTTTAAAAGTTTTAAATATTAATTATTTTATTTATTTTATAACTATAGAGGGCATGCAAACTTTTAAATGTTGAACCAATCAATGTTAGAATTTGGGATTATTATAATAATAACAAACATGCTGAATTAAAAGATCAAGAATATGTTTCAAATTCAAACTTAATTGAGAATCAATTAGTAAGTAAAAATAATGTTGTAAATTGGTTGTGCTTATGAAATGTTTTATTAATAATTTTTCATTTTATTTTGAAAAGATTTTATTAGATGAAAGATTACCAAATGGTAAATGGCCACAACAAGCTGATAGATATCAAACATATTCAACAAATAGCAGAGGGGATGGCGATAAAAGACCAGGTATTACAGGTTTAGGAAATCTTGGTAATACATGTTTTATGAATTCAGCATTACAATGTCTTAGTAATACCTATCCATTAACAAAGTATTTCTTCACCAATAAATATGAAAAGGATATAAATAAAGATAATCCATTGGGATGTGGTGGTGAATTGGCAACTGAATATGCATCATTAATATCAGATATTTGGGAAGGTAATCGTACAAGTGTTTATCCACGTAATTTCAAGAGTCAAATTGAAAGATTTGCCCCACAATTTGCAGGATATCATCAACATGACTCACAAGAATTATTAGCTTTCCTTTTGGATGGTCTTCATGAAGATTTAAACAAAGTTAAAAAGAAACCATTCTTTGAAGGTAAAGACTATGACGAACGTCCAGATGAAGTCATCGCCAATGAACAATGGGGTATGCATGTTGCTAGAAACGATAGTGTTATTGTCGATTGGTTCCAAGCTCAATTGAAATCCAAGTTAGTTTGTCCTGATTGTGGAAAGATCTCAATTACATTCGACCCATTCATGTATTTATCTCTTCCATTGCCATCTGAGATTAACAAACAATTCACCTACTCATATATCAACTCCTCATTAGTGGTAGAAAGACGTCAATTATCTTTATCATCAAACAATTGCCAAGTTAAAGATTTCTTACACAAATTGGGCGAAGAAGTTGGTGCTAATCCATCACATTTAGTTTTATCAATGAATGGCAAATTAATGAACCCAGATTTTAATTTAGCTGAACGTGTTTATTATATGAATAGAGAAATCGTTGTTTATCAACTTGATACAACTCAAGACAATGGTTTTTTAGTTTCAGTCAAATCTCATACCCCAAGCAACTCTTATTTTAATATTCATATTCCATTATATTTTGTAATTCCAAGTGACGTTCAATCATCTGCTGACCTTTACAAATTCTTCTTAGAAAAGTTTAAACCTCTCTTAAAAGAGGTTGAATCAATCCAACAAATCTTTGATAGCAACTCAAAACCACCACAAGAACCACAACACGATTCTGAATGTGGTAGCAGTGGTGATCAACAAGATTCAAATATGGTAGGAACAAGTGCAAATGACTCATCCGTCGATGATAACTCACCATCAAGTAGCAATACCACAACAACATCAACAACCACCTCAACATCAACCTCCAATGGTCATCATCACGGCAGCAGTGACCACTACTCCTCAAATAATTATAACTATAATTCACGTGAATCAAACGAACCAGAAAAAGACCCAAGATTCATTTTCCAAATGGTCGATTGCTCCTCATATCACAAAGAAAGAATTGTATTCCCATTTAAATCGAATGAGATTGCTTTGGTTTGGGAAGATCCATCATTATATTTAGAATATGAAAAACTTAGTCCAGATTTAACAAAGAATGGTGGTGTTCGTGATGTATCACCATATAATGTAGATTTAGAACAATGTATTGATTTATTCACTACCGAAGAACAATTGGGTCCAGAAGATCCATGGTATTGTAGCAATTGTAAAAAACATCAAAGAGCTTTCAAGAAATTTGATATTTGGTCTGCTCCTCCAATTCTTGTTGTCCACTTAAAAAGATTTAGCTACAAAAAACACTACAGAGATAAACTCGATACCCTTGTTAAATTCCCAATTAAAGATCTTGACCTCAGCAAATATGTCTTATCAAAGAATCAACCACCACCAATCTATGATCTTTTTGCAGTCTCCAATCACTATGGTTCTTTAGGAGGTGGTCATTATACCGCCTATGCTCTAAATGAACCTGAAACCAAAGAAGCAAAAGCCAATGGTAACAGTAATGGTAATGGTAAATGGTATAAATTTGACGACTCTCATGTCTCAGAAGCAAATGTTGAAAATGTTGAATCAGAGGCCGCCTATGTTCTCTTTTATAGAAGAAAGGATACCTACGATGAAGATTTTGATTTAAATAAACATTTAGATGCCCAAGAAAATAATAGCAATGAAAATAACAACAGTAATAATTATAATGGTGAATCAAATACAACTACAACAACCACAACAACAACAACTTCGAATGACAAAATGGATATCGATAATGACTACAATAGCAATTCAACTAACACGCTCGATTAAATTTCAAAATTTATTGAAATCAACCAATAGAAAAAAAAAAAATTTTAAATCAATATTCACAACCCTCTAATTTTTTTTTTTTTTTGATCACCACAATAACAAAATAAAAGTATATTAATGAAAAAAAACTAATAAAAAAAAAAATTATTTATATATTATTTCATTTAATTTTTTAAATTTTTATAAATCAAATATTACATTTAAATTAAATACAAAAGGATGAATAAAAAAAAAAAAAAAAAAAAAAAAGGGTTAATTTTAAAAAAATTAACTTTTAATATTTTTTTATAAAACTTTTTAAAAAAACCAATTTTATTTATAATTGGTTCAACCTTTTTTTTTTTTTTTTTTTTTTGTGCACAATGCATGCATCAAACATATTATAAAATTAGATAAAAAACGTGGTGGTTGCATGTGTGTTGCATTTATCAAAATTACCTATAACAAATATTTGAAATTTTTAAATATTTTTTTTAAAAACTAAAAAATTAAAATGGAAAAAATAATTATAATAATAAAAACAATAAAAACAATATATTTAAAAAGTGTGTTTAAAATTACCATATAATATTTTTAACATTACCCCTTCACCCACTTTTTTCAAAATAATTACAAACAACATAAATATACAAAAAGTTATATTTTTCATAATAAATTATATTTACAATCAAATAAAATTATTTTTTTTTAAATTAAAATTTTTTATTTATTTTTTATTTATTTTTATATTTTTTTTTTTTTTCTATTTTTATTCTTTTTTTTAATCCTTTTTTATAATATATTATAAATAATAAAGTAATAACTAAACAAATTTTACAACTTTAATATTTATTCTTTATTCTTTATTATTTATTTTTATAGTTTTTCTATTTTTTAAATTTAAAAATGAAAATTAAAAGAATGAATTTTAAAAACAAAAAATTTAAAGTTTTAATAATTGTTATTGTTATGACATTTATCATTGTTCTAAATTATAACACCATATTAAATAACAGTACTATACAATCAAACAATAATAAAAATAATAATAACATAAAAAAAAACAATAAAGAAAAAGAATATACTTTAGAAAATGATATAGATGTTTTAATTGAAAATGATAAAAATAATAATAATAATTTAAAAGAAGATAATATAAAAAACAACTTAAATCAGTTAAATATAGATCATAAAAACGGAGGGGATTTACCATTAGAAAAAGTTCATAGAAAAAGTGCTCAAGATAAGATAAAACCAATCAAAACCAAAGATAAGAACCTATATGACTTTTTAATCGAAGCTAAAAAACTAAATGTTCAAGTGAATATTAGAAAAACAAATGAAAACTGGTTTGATAGAGTAAAGAATCAATTAAAAATAGAAAAAAAAGTGTGCCACTATAGCAACCATAGAAACTATAATGAGAAACCTGTTCGAGTAACAAGGTCATTAACAGTACCAAAAGACAATGTTAAATGTGATCTACCATGCAAAGTTGTACGTTATGGTGACAATATCGATGCATCTGTATACTCCAGAGATAATTACTGTTCAAAGTCTATTTTTGAAACTTTAGAAAATGTTAAACCCTTCGATAGATATGATATAGTTTCAACTACTTCTTTGGACTCTGATGTAATTCTAGGGTACTATGCATGGCACGAATATCCATATTTCAAGAAACCCAAAGCAAAAGTCCATAATAAAGATCAAGGTTTAGTAGCAGCTTTCATTAGTAACTGTTCTCCCGAATATAGACTAAAATATATAGATAAACTCATCGAATATGGTGTAAAAGTAGACTCATATGGTTCATGTAGACACAACAAAAACCAACCTGAATCATCCAGAGACTATAATGGAGCAAAATTAAATATTGCCGAATCATATAAATTTATAATGGCATTTGAAAATAGCGAAACTGACGATTATGTTACAGAGAAATTTTTTGGTGCATTGGCTTGTGGAACTGTACCTCGTAAGTAATTATAAAATAAATGAAATAAACAATTAAATTCATTACTAACCAAATTAAAAATATATAGTTTATCATGGAGCACCCAACGGTAAAAAATATTTCCCAAGACCAAATGCAGCAATTTTTGTGAACGATTTTAAATCACCAAAAGAATTAGCAGATCATTTATTATATTTAGATAAAAACGATAAAGAGTATGAAAAATTTTTCGATTATAAAAAATATGGACCAACAAAAGAATGGATGAGTATAATAGATAACTCCAAAGTAAATGACGATTGCAGAACATGTATCAAAGTAGCAGATCTTCACAGAAAGCAAGTGGGTATGGTAATGAATAAAAACGAATCAATGCAACTAGTACCAAAATCATTTAAGCCAGATCAAGGTATTGTTGTATATATAAGAGAAAAAAGTACATTTTGGTTCACCTCCGTTGCTATACCTTACAACTCCACCTATCTAAATATTATAGAAATTATTTCAAACTCATTACCACACAAAGGTGAAATCTATGAAGCATACGATCTTTCAAATAAAAACATTTTAATCTCAAATGAAAAATTAAAACACTCTGATAAAATAGAACTATTTCAAAATCAAGAAATTGAAGTCATCTTTATAGATTTAAACTTTTTCTTTAATTCAAAAAAATTAAATTTAGGCGAAGAAATATATGAATCAAATCATTTTTATAACCAGACATAATCAATAAAAAAAACAAAAATATAAAAAAAAAACAAAAATATAAAAAATAAATAAATATTTAAATATATATATAAATATTTTTTTACATAAAAATATACATTTATTAATGGAGTTTCTCACTTTTTTTTTTTTTTTTTATCTTCAAAATTACATTTATGGATTAATCAAAAACAATTAATTGTATCTAAATTTAGCCACAATCATTTTTATTTTTTTTGTGTGTGCAACAAAAAGTACCCAAGATATATCAATTTTAAGAAAATAATTAATTTAATTTTTTTGCGTTAAAAAAAAAGAAAAAAAAAAATCTCTTTTATTTTTAATCAAAAAGGATATTTTAAAAAAAAAAAATAATAATTCCATTACACCATTTTTTAAAGAGTAGTATTGATGTTAAACATTGTGCGCATTAAAAACCCAACCCCACCAAAATTAATAAAAAAAAAAAAATTTTAAAATATCAATAAAAGAAAAAAATTAAAAAAAAAATTTTCAAAGATAAATTTTTTTTTATTTTTAGTTTTTTTTCTCATTATAAAAAAAAAAAAATTGGTTTTCTTTTCATTTCAACAAACTTTGTATATTAAATAAACAACTAAAATAAATAAATAAATAAAAACTATTTAATTATTTTTATTTTGTATTATTATTATTATTTCCTTTTTTTAAAAACAATTATCTTTCTATTTTTTTTTTTTCATTAAAAAAACAAACAAACAATCTGTATGTAAAATAACAAATAGATGTACAAACAATTTAGGGGTTTATTATTTTCTTATTGTATATAAAAAAAAAATCAAACACACAAACATTCAAAAATATCTTTTTTTTATTTTTTTTTTTTTATTTTTTTTTTTTTCGTATCTGCATTTTTTATTTACCACAACACATTTTAAAATCAATTTTTATAAAAAACAAGATTTTTTTATCTTTATTTTTTTTTTCTTTTCTTTTTATTTAAATACTTGTATTTGATTGTTCATTCAAAAAAAAAAAAAAAAAAAAAAACGTATAACACAAAAAGAAACATATAAATTTTGGAACTTTTTTTATAAAAAAATAAATAATAATATTTTAAAAATAAAAAAAAAAAATAAAAAAAAAGATCTTGCTTTTATTTTATTATAAAATTACAAGGTTTGGTTTTGTATGGGTAAAATAATATAATGTGGACAACAATAACCGTCTAGAAAATTTTTATTTATTTTTTTTTTTATTTTTTTTTTTTAAATTTTTTTAAATTTTTTTTTAACCAACGACTATAGGGAATTTTTGCAAACTTTTTTTTTTTTTTTTTTAATTTTTTTTCTTTTACATAAAACATTATCAAAAAAGATACATATAATATAATATATATTATTTTTATTTATTCGCATTTCATTTTTTTTTTTTAATAAAGAAATCCATAAAAAAAAAAATATTTTGTTTTTTTTTAAATAAATTTAATAATAATTATTTTTGGTTTTATTTGTACAATATAAACCTCACTTGTAATATATTTTCACAATCATATAAATTATTTAAATCCTAACACATATATATATAAATTTCAGAATAAAATGACAGAATACAAATTAGTTATTGTTGGTGGTGGTGGTGTTGGTAAATCTGCCCTTACTATTCAATTAATTCAAGTAAATATTAAAAAAACCAAAAAAAAAAAAAAAAAGATAATTGGAGTATTAATATTTTAATTTTTATTTTTTTATTACAGAACCACTTTATTGATGAATACGATCCAACCATCGAAGATTCATACAGAAAACAAGTTACCATTGATGAAGAAACTTGTTTATTAGATATTTTAGATACTGCTGGCCAAGAAGAGTAAATATTCAAAAAAAAAAAAAAGAAATATTATTTTCCCTTTATTATATACTAACGTTTTATATTGTTATTAATTAGATATTCAGCAATGAGAGATCAATATATGCGTACTGGTCAAGGTTTCCTTTGTGTTTATTCAATCACCTCACGTTCATCATTTGATGAAATTGCTTCATTCCGTGAACAAATTCTTAGAGTTAAAGATAAGGATAGAGTTCCAATGATCGTCGTTGGTAACAAGTGCGATTTAGAATCAGATCGTCAAGTTACTACTGGTGAAGGTCAAGATTTAGCCAAATCATTCGGTTGTCCATTCTTAGAAACTTCAGCCAAGATTCGTGTCAATGTTGAAGAAGCTTTCTATTCACTCGTCCGTGAAATCAGAAAAGATCTCAAAGGTGATACCAAACCAGAAAAGAACAAGAAAAAGAGAAACCTTAAATCATGCACTCTCTTATAAGCAGCTACTTCGAATCAAATAAATAAAAAAAAAAAAAACCCCTTTTCTCTTTTTTTTTTTATCAATCACTAAATTAAATTAATTAAATCAATATCCTTACAGCATCACACCCAATTAGCATCACACAATACAAATCACCATCATACTTTGGATGTAATAATGCTAATAACATTATTTTTTAACCAAAGTAAACCATAATCTTTAAAAAAAAAAAAAAATTAAAAAATAAAAAAAAAAATTATTTATAAATAAATCTATGTTTGTAATTATTAACCTAAAAAATAGCCTCTAATGATTTCTAGTTTTGAATGTTTAAATTATTTGTATTAAAAAATTTATTTTTATTTATAATTGCAAAAATTAAGGACAAGGTTCTAAAAGAAGTAAATCAGTATATTTTTTTATATAATTAAATTTAAATATTAAAAAAAGAAAAAAAAGAAAATTTAAATTCTTTTTTTTTTAAAAACTTTATTATATAATTTTTTAATTTAAATATTTTGGTTATTAACCGATTTTATAATATTAAAAAATTCAAATTTTTTATTTATTATTTATTATCATTTCCTTTCAATTAGAATGGAGTAAAGGTAAAGACTTTTTTTAATTTACTTTAAATTTTTAACAGTCATTTAATTATAGATAATAAATTTTGGTTTTTTTTTATATTAAAGAATACCTTTTAGATCAAATATTTTTTATTTGGTGATCTACCCCTAGAAATTAAATGTAGTATAAGTACACCATTAGGTTTGAACATAAAGTAGGAGTTCAAATTAATAGTATAAATATGTAATAAAATGCACAACTAAGGCGTGAGGTGACCAACTAAGCAAAAAGGAAATAAGTTCAAACCTAATAAGGGTCATTAAACTATAACAACCAATTTCCTCATTGGTTATTGTTTTTTAAAAATATATTGGAATGTTTATTCCATTTTATTATTTTATTAATTATAAGACCTAAGTATCTGAATTGACCAGATATTACTTGAAGCAAAATTAAACCGTTGCAATTTGGTTGAATAAATTGAATTATAAGCTACAATTTCATTTGTAAGCTTTATAGAGCTTCATTACAATATTTGTGATATAACAACAATTTTAAAATCAATTTAAATTTATTATAATAAGCATAAACATATATCACATTTATTGGAAAAAATCACACATATATCATTTAATATTTATCATCATATTTTGACACATTTTTAAATTTATTATTTTTTTAATTAATTTTATTTTTTTAAAAAATAATATTTTTCAATATAAATTAAAATTCAAAAATCATTTTAAAGCAGAAAATAAAAGAAAAAGAGTTAAGTTATAAAGTTTACAAATAATAATAATTAGTAGTTTTTAGTTTTAATAAAGATTAGTTATTATTATTTTGGTTTTATTAAATTTTATTTTATCTTTATTTTGTGTTTTATTATTATTATAATTAATTACATTTAGTTTATAATACATTTTGTTTTGTAATTAATTCATTATATTAGAGTTCTTAAATATAACAACAGTTATATTACACATTGTAATGATACCTCATAAAGATAATGAAAGTTTTCAGTAATAATTCTTTATTTATGACTTATAGATTAAATATTAACTTCTAATAACAATAACAATTAATAATATAATAACTAAAATACTTAAATAAAGGTTTCTAAACTATATTTCTATTATAACTATATTTCTTTATTAAACTTAGTACAGTTCTTCCATTTTTTAGTTTTCAATTAATAAGAAAATCCTTCAATTCTGGTTTCATCAACAAATATTACCCTTTTCCCAATTTTCAGCTTCCCAATTTTGGCACTTTTTTACCCACCTTAGCTTTGAGACATATATTTTTCGGTTGGAAAGTGTTTACATTTTAAACTTTTAAAAAAAACATTATTATGTTGTAGAGACCTACTATTTTAACTTATTAAAACATTTTTTTGAAAGTTTTTTCTAAGATATCTTTTTATATTACTTAAATTATGACATTTCCCATTTCAAATTTATTTTCTACAATGTCTTTCAATTCGGTCGTCCATCTTTCTTATTATGCCAGGAATTGTATTTTCTTCAATTGCACCTTTTTCTAGATTTTTTTTAAAAAATTCCCTTAACTGTGGACCTACTTCACTCAATATATCTTTAACTTTTTGATGATTTTTTTCTTTTTTGTAAATTTTTAATATCATTTTTATTAACTCTAAAAAAAGGGTCAATATTGTTTTTTTTTTCTATTTTTTATGAATATACTGTCCTATTTGTTTTTAAAAAAAAATTAAAATAAAAATAAAAAATTATAATAAAATTGAATTATCTTCTCAAAAATTTAGACCCCATTTTATATGGGCGCTATAAAAAAAAAATTAAAAAAATTTTTTTAAAAAAATAAATTTTAAAATTTTATTTAACAAAAAAAATATAAAAAAACCGTATAAGTTTATCTATAAATATTTTTAAAATGGATTTATAGTCAAAAACCTAAGATAAGATTAAAATTAAATTTTTTTTCTAATGTTTTTTATTAGGGGGTCAAAACTTTTGCGAACAACTGTAATATTCCTGTAACTCCTGGAGCTCCAACTGTAACCATCTTTCAGATAGGGGTTCCATCACAACATTTCTGTATAATTTCCTCATTGGTGTAGTCGGTAACACTCTAGTCTTTCACACTGGTACCTCGGGTTCGATTCCCGAATGGGGAGTTTTTTTAATAGTGAAAAATGGTTCCTATCTTCCTAAAGATTTTTTAATTTCGGGGTAAATGTAGGTTTTCCCACACCAATTGGGGGAGCAATTGCCAAAAACAGACAAAAAGCACAAAGATTATGGATGATAAATCAAATAATCAATAAAATTGAAACTAACAAAATAGAATCAGAATATCAACACAGTTGGAAACATCAAATATCAACCAAAACAATAACTTCAGATTACCTATTTAAAAACTACAATGATTGGATACAAATAAAAGTTAAAAAAGGACTACTAGACGGGTTGAAATCCATTAAAAATAAAGACGGCAAACCTCTTTCTTTAGCAGAATGGTATTCGGAAATAAACAATCTCAACAGCTTTACACCCAAAACAGAATTCCAACAATGTCTTCAACTTACAGGTTATAGCTATATCAACCTATTCAATAATATACTTAATATTAAAGATCCAAAATCAAGAAACACTCTATTCAAATTCCAAGCAAGATGCTTACCCATCAACTTCATTCAAAACAAACCATGTAGACTATGTAATGAAAATATTAATAATGATCCATATGGTCATCTATTTTTCAAATGTAAAAAACTCTGAAATTCATCAACTTCAATAAACTAAAATCATTTATATTCATTACTTCGGGAAGGGGCCTCAATTGGTCACTGGACATAACAAGATCAAGAAGGAATATATCAATAAAAAATATTACATACAAAATCCTAGAAGGTCGCAAATCCGATGGAGAAATAAATATGGATTACAACAACACCAGATTCCACAAATCACACTTCCAATGGAACTATAAAGCAATAGATTTCGACTTAACTAGATGTTTCGCTTATAGAAATGCCATAGCCCTGGTATTTCATCATGTTTGGATTTGGTTATGTAAAGAATTATATGACGATCAAGAAAATACAATAAAAGAACTCGATTATAAGAATCTAACCTCAAAATGGACTAAGCTAGCTACTTTAGAATACTTAAAAGGTTTAAAAAACACCAAGGAAAGACACGCTAAACAACCACAAACAATTAGCAACATTAATGAAGAATATAGAAAATTTAAAAGAAGAATAGCAAGAGCATACTTCATCAGCATCAAATCTTTACCAAATATCAACAGTTTAGAATATTTTCTTTAAAAACTTTATAAAAAAAAACATTAAATAAAATTTTACTGATTAATTTAAAGCATTTGCTTTTAATTATCTTCACTTTTAAAAAAAAAAAAAAAAAAAAAAGGTTGAATAAGTTACTAGTTAAGACTAGTGGTTGAGTCTAAAAGTTAACTAGTCTTTAGTAATAGGTTGGCTGTGCATTTGATAAACATTATGTAATGTATTATCATCAAAATTCACTTTTAAAATAAAAAAATAAAATAAAATTTTTCGTTTTATTCAATTTTCACATAAACTTAAAAATCATATAATTTATTATCTTTATTTTTATTGTTTATTAATTATTTATTTATACTTTAAAAGTTCATTTACATTACAATTACCCAACTTGTATGCAGTGTGGTAAAACTCATATAAGTTTAAAACAAACACCAAAACAAAAACAATAACATACTGATGACTTAATATCATTAAGAATCATCTTCACTTTTAAAAAGAATACCTATATGAAAGTACTGGTAAAGATAGCAGATGGAGTTATAATAAAAGTACCAACACAGTGATTTACCCAAAGACAAATTCTATGGTATGGCAAAATAAATTACAGTTTTTAATTGGCGATAATCATGAGTGGTGCTTGAATAGAGATGGTGGGGCTGAAAATTACTTTCATTTTACGACCTCTGGTCTGGCTACTGGTTTCTTTAGGAGTTGGAGTTATACCTTTATAATCACCCATTTTGAAAATAAAAGTTAAATTTTTTATTAATAAATGGTTTTCGTGATTATATGTGCAATGAAGGTCATTAAAATTACAAAAAATAATTTCATCTTTGAGGATTGGAGATACAAATAGACCGATTTTTTGATCAGTTTCGAAGGTTTGAGAGGCTGGTTGTAGGCTTTTTAGTTTCAATGGGATATAGATTTCTTTTATTTCACTATTGAAAGCTGTGATATTTTTGGTATAATTAAATGTAAAAGAACCATCTATATCATAATCTACAGATGGTTTTGTAGGTGTAGTATCTATTAATACTTTGGGATTGAAAGATTCATATTGGTTAGAACTTTTGTTTAATTGTTTAATTTCAATTAATGGTATTTTATTTACTTCATAAAATCCTTTTTTTTCTAAATCAGTAAAAATAGTTGTGAAATCAAGTTGAAAACCCGCTGTTCCAAAAGGAATAACCTCTGGTCCAAACTTATTATAGTTTGAGGTTGTTGGAGGGTCTGCAATAATAGTAACACGTCTTTCATAATATTCAGCTAAATAATCTAATTTTTTTGAACAAAATGCACTACCACCTCTTGATTCCTAATAAATAAAATAAATCAGTTAATATAATAAATAGGTGAGTAAATTTAATATTTTTTTAATTATTGCTTATGAACTACTTACTTGTTTACCTTGCCAATTAAGATCACCAATACCTTTATTATAAATTTTAAATTAATTAGTACATTTTGTTTTATATTAGCTCGGTGGGTTTATAATTAAAAATACTTACAGAATAGATTACCAGTGATATCGACTAAATATGATATCTTTGAATGTTGAGCACCATCTGTTGTAAATTTACTAACGGACCATGGCGCATCAGTTCTACTGACAATATTAATTATAGGTGATGGTATGGCCATTTTATCACGATTTCTACTACCACCCCTCTGCATTGTATTAATAAGCCATGTAACATTGTTTTTTCCATGATTGGTTAAATAGTAGTCTGCAATATAATCCCATATCATATTAAATTTTCTTTTTGATAATGGATAGCCTGTTTTATTTAAATGAATGTTGTTGTTTGAGGTTTGAACAAAGTATTGACCAGTTGAATCCGAGTGATTCATTACCATATTGTAATGTACACAGTCATTATCGTCCTTTTTTTTGAAATCAACTGATGAAAAATCACTATTACTGATTAGACTAGCCTATTTATAAATTAAAAATTAGTATTTTTATATAAACCAGTATAAATTAATTTAAAACTTACAACTTTAGACCATTTTGATAGTTCGATTTTATTTTTTGACCAATGTTTTGTATTTACATCAAATATAAATTTATCGAAAACCTCTTTATCAAATTTATCAAATGTTTTCCTTGTTTCATTAAAAACAGCGATTTCAGCTTCTGTAAAACCTGTGGTATTGATTAATGGACCAACTAGGGCTCCAATTTGAGTAAACTCGGATAGACTCGATAGTTTATGTGTTATATTTTTAATGTTTATACCATTAATTGCATTAATAATAAAATCACCATAAATTAAAAGTTTTGGAATAATATCTAATTCTTCTGATGATAAGTTGATGCAAACTGAATGTTGACCCAAGTTAAATTCAATTCCTTTTTCAAAATTCACCAGCACTATCTTTTACAGGTGACTGAGGATAACTATGAATAACATGAATACCTCCTATAATGATTAATAAAAATTTATTTTAATATTTTTAAATATTATTAATATATATAAAATGATTATATTTACCTTGACTGTTCCAAATAAAAAAACCCTTGGCATGAGCACCTGTACCAGGATCATCACGAGTTGTAGGATCAGTAGAAACTATTACGCCCTTAACTTTTTTTACTTTATGTCTTGGTTCATTATTATATGCAATACTATTGTAATTATTATTATTATTTAATATTTGTTCATATGTTATAGTTACTGGATTTGGAATTTTATTATTATTTTTGGTATAATAATTGTTGATTTCCGATATTATTTTTTTATCAGATAAATTGCTGTCTGTGTAAATCGCACCACCATCATCACCTGAAAGTTGTTGTAAAAACCACCAATCCACATCTATTTTGGAGGTCATAGAGGTATATTCAGCACTTGCTTCACCTTGATACACATTTTGTGTGGTTTTACATCTTGGTGCTTGAGATACTACAAAATTAGTATTAGCAATAACTAAAATTAATATTAAAACAAAATTAATATTTATAAGTTGCATTATATATTATGGTTGTTTTTTTATTGGATTTTGCATTTTTTTTTTATTATGAGAGCAACTAAATAAAATTAAAATCAAATAAAAAAAACTTCGTAATTTTTTTCTGTGGTGTGGAACAAACGAGCGAATCAAAGATTTTTTTAAAAGAGAAAAAAAAAAAAACAAATATAAAATTTTTAATTTTTTCTGCTTATAAGTGATATAATTCGTTTTTTTAAAAATTTTTTTTTTTTTAGATTTTTTTCAGATTTTTTTTATTATAATTAACAAAATGGTTTTATTGAAACAATAACGAGTGAGATTTTTTTTTTTTTTGAAACTTTTTGTTTTTATTGTTATTGGTTTATTTTTAAACAAATAATTAAATTTAAAAAAAAAAATATTTAAAAATTTGAAAAATTTTAATTAAAATTTTTTTTTTCAATTTTTTTTTTTTTTTTAATTAAAATAAATAAATTCAATATCATATATAAAATAAGTTAGAATGTAATAACTGACCCAATAAAATTTGAAATTCTCAATTTTGTTAACAAGCAGAAACCAATAATTAGTGGTTATGAATTTGTGTAAATTAATAAAATTTTCAACAATCAAATTCATTCAAAAATTAATAACCACTACCACAATCATTACAATAAAATGCACTGATAAGTATTGGAAAATATAAAGAATAGTTAATAAATGCAGTAAATAAGTTAAATCAATAGTTTTATTATGGAACAATGTTATTCACTTTAATTGTATTTATAAACTATTAGTGCACCATAAATAGTTTTCTCGATATTATTCAATATCGAATCATTTTTTTATAGACCGGGGAAAAATTTTAAAATAATTAAATAAACAATGAAATATAAATAATAATGAATAATTTTTTTGTTTAATCCTTAAAGAGCTACTTGAAAAATAGAAGATGAATCATTTTAATATGGTAATTATCTCACTCATACTAAAAAATATTCACTTTTTCTTGTTTACTTTCAAATAAAATGAATGAAGGTATAAAGTACTAAAAAGTATAAATGATTAAAATTTTTTTTATTTATTTATATTAAAAAGATCTATTAAATAAATTTTTTTTTTAGTAATTATTATTAATATTATCGAGTAGTTTTTTTACCAAAAATATTAATTTAAAAAAATACTTTTAATAAAAAAAAAATTTAATTTTTTAAAAAATTAATAAAATTAAATCTATAAATGGGTTGTGGGGGAAATTTTTTATTAATCGAGTTTTTTATTTTTTAATTATATTTTAAATTATAAAAATAATACAAAATTAAAAAAATATAAATAAATTAAATGATAGTTTTATGAATGAATTTTTTATGAGTGAGCTTTTTAGTAAGGAGAGATATTTTTATGGACAATTTTGCAAGTAGCTCAATCACTGATTTTTCTAACCATTCAATTTGAATGGAGAAAGGGTTAACACGAATTTTAATAATTTAATTTTTATTTAGGTTATTTAATTTTGTTTATTTAGTTTATGTTTCTTATCTTATTTATATTTTTGACTTCTCTTTCCACTTGGGTGCCCAGAATAACTTGAATCTCTTAATTACTCTTTTAAAACATTGGTTTGCATACAGTTCTTCGCAAAAGTTTTGACCCCCTTTTTTAAAATTTTTTTATTTTTATTTATCTTCAATAATTTTAATTCCAATTATTCTAAAAAATATAAAATAAATAAATAAATTAAAATTAATTTAAAAAAATATTTAATTTTAAAAATGTGTTTACAATTGATGATAAATATAAAATAATAGATGTGTGATTATTTAAATTAAAAATGTGTCTAAATTTTATATAGTTAAGATGTTTTGAAATTTATTTTATATTTTTTTGAATTATTGAAATTAAAATTATTGAAGATAAATAAAAAAAAAAAATTTTTAAAAAAGGGGGTCAAAACTTTTGCGAAATACTGTATATGTTTATGATTATTATAATAAATTTGAATTGATTATAGAATTGTTGTTATATCACAGGGTTTTAAATTCAAAGAATCTTAACTAGCAAGGGTAGGAAAGCCTGGTTAAATCCGTGTGACTTAAGATCTCATCCTGTCGGTTCGCGAGTTCGAATCTCGCCTCTTGCAAAAATATTTTTTTTGTCCAAAAAATCTTCCAGATGATTGTAGAGGGTTTTTATTATCTTCACTTTTAAAAAAAAAAAAAAAATCATCCATCTGGGAGAGCATGTGTAATCTATTATCATCAAAATTGAACAAGGATGATTACTCAATAACAATCAACATTAATTCACACACGAATTGACGTTACCGTGCCCAACTTGTATGCAGTGTGGTAAAACTCATATAAGCATTAAACACATACCAAACATTAACTGATGACTTAACATATCATTAAGAATCATCTTCACTTTTAAAAAAAAAAAAAAAAAAAAAAAAACATTAATTAATAATAATTAACAATTATTTTAATTCAATCATAAGCATAATTTGGAATAAAGGTTGGTATTTTTTTTTGAGTTTTACTATTTTTATTATAGTTCATATGATTGTTATTATTCATATTTATATTCATATTCATATTCATTTGATTGTTATCGCAATTCATATTGTTTGGTTGTGGGTTATTATTATGAATTATTCATTTGATTGTTGTTATTATTTGTTAGATATCTCGGATTCTAACATGTTATTAATAATATAATTATTAATAACATTGTATATAAATTTATTAATTTTTAATTTTTTAAAAATTTAAAAAAATTAATTTATTTTAAAATTAATTTTTTTTTAAAAATTTTTTAAACTAATTTTTTAATTTCTAATTTTAATTTTAATTTCTTATCGACCCGCTTGAGGCCGCTATCGTATTGAGGAATCGAACAAGGGCATCACCAACTTTCAATGATGGACTCATACCAAAGTTCTTTCCTTCGATCGGCCCAAATAAGGTGCAAGAGTCAAACCAGGTCTGGTGAAACAGAATTGACGGTTGGTGCGTTGCATGA